GTCATGTGGTCTCCCTCACTGGAAATGAACTTCCTACGCCTGGAGTAGACCTCCTCCCTCCGGGCAGGGGGGTTATAGAGGACACTGTCCACTGACAGGAGGGACACGATCGTCAGCACCTCCTCCGTACAGGAGAAGTCCGCTGACAGCAGGATTGTCTGGAGAAAAACAGAAAAGGGTAAGAAAAAAACACCAGGCCCAATTGAAAGTCTAGTCTAGGAGTCAATATGTATAGCACTGTAAACATTCTCATTTCCTGAGATTCATTTGGGAACTTCAATTAGCTTTTTGTTTTTGTTGTAGTATAAAATGGATTGTTAATAGATAAAACTTGGCTTTCTTCCAAAGCCAATTCAGGCCAAGGGAGAAAAAACAAACAGTTACATTCATACGAAATTTGCACTCCAGATTTGTAGCAACGGAGTTGTCCTTCACAGCACTCCTGAATTCCTCTTTTGGCATTTTTTGCTGCTGCAGGTTCCCCTGATCCATTGCATATAGCATGTGTCTAAGAGAGCTCAGTCTCAGGGCTAACGGTGTTATGAAGTTTGATCACTGAATAAACTCTTGCCCGTTTGTTCACCTTGGCAAACCTGGGCTCTAGCGGGAAACTGGCCATCTTCTTCCCTAGAGGAGTCAGGGTGACCTGATCGTCTTTGCGTTCCGCAGCTCCCAGCAACTCCAGCTGCTCGATGGCTGCCTGAATGGCCTCTGTGAAACAGCACACAGCTTTCAGGATAGTCCCAGCAAGAAGCGTTTTACCATCACGGACAGCAAAGGGCGTGCTTACACCTCCTCGACGGGAGGTACATTGCTAAGGTTAAGAACAGTGAGACAAAACACAGAGTGGAGTGTCCAGAAAAGTGCTATATCAGTGTTAGGAATTATTGTTAAAATAATAAAAACATGCTTGAAAAAACTTTTGCATTTGATACCTTTACTATGGTGCTTCAAAAGCAAGAGGAGATAAATTAAAATTACACGGAAAGAACATTTGGAAAGATACTCACCTGGAGAGGGTTTGGACATGAAGTCAAAGTTCAGAACGTCAGGGATCCTCAAGGCCAAGAGCTGCAGCATCACGCTAGCAAGGTTGCATCTGCGAAACCAAGAAATTCGCTCTTAGCAAAAATAAGTGCCAAACAGGTCTCTCAGCTTCCTGTTGCATTCTTTGGTGTGTCACTGACTCACGAGAAGTGCAGTTCATATGCTGTAAGCACTGCAGATTGTCCTGGATACTGCAAAGCGCAGAA